AAGTTGAATTGTAGGTTTTGTATTTATCTGTTATCTGTTATTTACTTTTTACCAAAAGGCAATATTTTTTACACAAACATTTTAACTATTAGCCAAATGCATGCCCTTATCCTAGCCTTGTTTTTCAGTTGAGAGAAAAAACTTCTCCAGGATATGCTGCCACTAATTGAGCCCTTCACTGGCTCACTCACAGAGGTAAGCACTATGGAATAGATCTATTGTTAGAATAGTGATTGGATTTTTTAAAAATGTGCTTTCATGAATGTCTATATGCACATATGTATGAGTACATTTTCCTATGTATTCTAAAGAATTGGCAATATATTAATTAAAGCATTAAGATATGATCTTCATACAATAAGTGTGTAGGTCCTTCTTTCTTTCAAAGCATTATAGGTATTTTTCGATGGCCTATTATTCATAAGACTGGAGACAAAATTTGCAAAATTAAGTAGAAACCTTCCTCACTTTACAAAGCTACCAAACCAGTGCTCCTGCTTAAGGTGAGAAAGTCACCTAAAACCAGTCTGGTGTCTACTGGACTGACATAGTCTGGCTGTGGGAAATTCCAGTTCACCACAGTAAGAACATGTACTTATCATTTTACTCAGAAGGTTAATGATGTACACTACATTCTTCCAGATATCTGTGTGTGAGGTGCCTGGTGGAAATTTGTTGCTCTATATGCCTCCGACACCATGACACTCTCGGTCAAGCTTTACTCCAATGGTCTCGTCACGGCAACTGTTGAATATTACACTGACCAGGTCAACGAGCACAAGATTGCTAATGATGTAAGTTTGCTGTTGCGGTGTTTTAATTTGAGTTTATCACATGCCATGGGAGTAGGTTTATAGATAGGATGCAATGGAGGGGATTTTTTTTTGCAGCTAGTTATTCTAGAATTGAACAGTGTTTTATAACAATTTAGTAAGTTATGTTAGGTTTGAGAGTGACTTGTGTAATATATTCCACTTATGAAATTAGACTTGTTGAATACTGAATAAAGGTCTTGTAAAAGAGAAGTAGAGCTTTAAGACTAATAAATCATATTAGACTTATTTGAAGAGATGCCAAAGTCAGTATACTGAAGTCAAAATAACATAAAGCATGTCTGTACTTTAGAAATGTCTTTTGATTGTTGTAGTCAGTTTCAGTGTAAGATGTAGTAAGTTGTGGGTATGTTATAATGGTTTTCAGGTTTTCTCTTTACTTAGACTGATAGCTTTATTACTGGGGTGATGATAACAAGTGTTGTGGTTATTAATGCAATATCTCTATTACTACCACGCGTCATCCAACAGACTGTAAGTGCCAGACCAAATGCATGGATTTTTGCTTGACTTTTAGATTTAATTTCATTAGCAATCAGATCATTTTTGCCTTTTGCATTTCACATAAAATTTTTGTGTTGATTTAATCTGCACCAGTAAATCGTGAGTTATCACATGCATATTGTTAAGCATTTTTTCCCAGAGATGGTGTCACTTAATACAGGTAAATTTAATAGTATGTTATCCCTTTCTTTTTTTTTTTTTTGTTGTAGTACCTCAATTTTTTTTCTTTTTTCAATAAAGTATGAATTAAAATTTTTATATAATGAAATATGTGTTTGAAATGATATAGATGTTAGAACTGCATTTTAAAATACATTTTACTGTAAAATGGAAGTTAGAGTTCTTGTTAAAAAACATCTTTTATCACTGATATTGTTCAGAAAATTATTCAGTACCTTTTTGGAATTTCTTAAAGCACCATATAATATTTACGAAGAATTTTAAAAAGATAAGATAAGATATGATATAAAAATGAGGAAGCAAAATTTTCTTGTATATGTATTTTTTCCTTTTTAAAATTTTCTTTTTATATAAAGAATATGAAATGACATCACACTATTCACTACCAGCATGTCTAAATACCTGAAAAGGAACAACACAACAATCCTCACCTTTGTTTTATTATTTTTGAATGTTACTTTTCCAAATAGGTAGGATCCTATTTGCTTGAGCATTTCATACACTGCTCTATACTTTCTTTTGCCACCACCATCCTACTCTCCATCTCTCGTTCTCTCTCTTTCTCTTTCTCTCTTTCTCTCTTTCTCTCTTCTCTCTTCTCTCTCTCTTTCTCTTTTCTCTCTCCCTCTCTCCTCTCTCTCCCTCTCTCTCCTCCCCTCTCCTCCTCCTCCTCCTCTCCCTCCCTCTCTCCCTCCTCCCTCCCCCTCCCTCCTCCTCCCTCCTCCCTCCCTCCTCCTCCCTCCCCGCCCTCTCCCTCTTTCTTTTCTTTTTCACTCTGTTCCCACATTCATATTCTGTAATATTACTCTCCCTTTGTTCTCACATGCATCTTTCCTTGCTTCTATTTTCTCTCTGTTCTGCTTGGTCCCTCTTCTTATTCCATATTAATAGCAGCAGGAGTAGTTCCTATCTTATCACTGTCAGACACAGAATCACGTTTTATTGTTTGAAGTGTTATTTGTAAAACAGTAGGAGCTGTTTATTTACATTGCAATTTCTTTTTAATGCTGTCAGGTTTGATACTTTTACCTCCTTGTAAGAGGAGACTTTGATTTTGTCATGACTGATGCATTTTGATTAGTGCAGCTTTGTCAGTAGAATGTTCAAGATTAAGAGAGGTGTTATAGTAATACATATAATCCTAGACTGACATATATAATGTTTTTGTCACTGTTTTGTAATATGCTACACTAATTCCGCAGCATGGGAGGGCTTTGGAAAAGCAGCTCATGGCAAAGTTTGACTGCAGTGTGGCCAAGGTCTTACCGGCAATCAAGAGAGCTCCCCCTGTCAACCCATACTTTACATCTTCAGGTTGGGATATGTGCTTATGCCTTCTGACATACATTTAGTATGAAATTCCTTTGCTAAAGAGGATAGGAGAGTTGCTAGATCATACAATTGACTATGTGTGTGTATGGGGGGAACTATGTATGTTTCCAGGTAACTGAATGTGATTTAATGATATTTTTACCTCTTAGATGACAGGCTGCTTGAATATGACACTGATGGTATTGTCTTCGAGGAGCAGTCGAAATTCCAGAAGGTGCAGATATACAGCACAAAAAGTTTCGGAAACCTCTTGGTCCTAGACGACCTCCAAAGTAAGGAGAATTTGAAAGAGAAGATGACTGTTTTGGAATATTTTGAGATATCAGTAGTTGTTAGATATATATTTTATTTTATTGTAGACTAATTTTGTTTTATCATGTTATATTTATTTTTGTTACTATTGTATATTATGTGAGTGGTACTATAATTTTGGTTATTTGTAGGGTAATGTGTGGTATGAAGTATTAATTGTTTCTTTACTCAATCATGTTTTCTGTGTCGTGGTCAAAGGTTGGATGAGCTTGTTTACTCGAAAGCCTTGCCAACACTGTCTTGTCATGCCATCTCAACAAACCTAGCTAATTATGATTTGCCATTCCTAATATTCCCCAAGATGTATTTTTGTTGAGTAGGCATTGATCTTTTGCAACCTTAGTCATTCATGACAGGATGATGTCCTAACATGTCTTGGCAGACTATCCCTTGTACTGAGGTGATGTCTTCACATGTGCAGATGAGCCACTCCAAGTTATGTACAGTAAACTGTGGTGCATTTGTTAGGCTCTAGCTACGGTCATTAAGGTGGAACAGCTCCTCAAAAAGTAGCCTTACAATGTGTTTTTAGCTTCATCATCTGAACAGTTCTTTATGCTGCCGCCAAGAGCAATGAGAGCCGGATAATTTTATGTTTCTTAAGCTTCTAATTTTCCTTAGAGTAGATGACTCCGCATGTGCCCCATTTTGGGTTCGTTATGGCATGCTCATAAGTGGGCTAAAAAACTAACACTTAAAATATTTTTCCACTATCTCATCCATCAGGCTCTTTGGATAAAAGAAATAACCCCTTTTGAAAATACCACATGTACTTATTTGTGATCAAAACTTTTATCATTCAAACAGACCTTGCAGAACAGGACTTACCATACACCCATGGTCTCATGAACAAGGACAAGGAGGACTTTGCAGGGAAGGAAATACTGATCCTTGGAGGTGGTGACGGGCCCTTCTGTGGGAGCTGCTGAAGGAGAAGCCCAAATTCGTCACCATGATTGACGTGAGAACTTCAAAGTTTTGCTTGGTGTGGAGAAGGATGAGGTTAAGAGGATGGAGGAATGGATTTTGGGAAATAAACAGTGAAGGAGAGGAAGAGAGAGTGAGAGGGGAGATTGAGGAAGAAAGTCTTATTGATTTTTCACGGGGGAGATTGATACAGGAGCAAAGAAGGAAGAGAGGGATGGGAAGGGCAAGGGAGATAAAAGGAAAGGAATTATTAAGGTGAAAATCAACAGAACTTGATGATTCATAAATTTATACTTTTATGAGAAGTTAATCCAGAGAAAGTACATACTGTAAATATAAAATGGAGTAATACACAGTAAATATTTGTGGACTTGCCCAAATACAATGAAATTTTGGACCATTAGTGGCAATAGAATACAGATTGACAAAATATTTTTATGTGCAATGAGGATTAAAGTTGATATGGTAATATAATATTTGATTTGCTACTCAGTATTTCCAGAATATAGTGATCATGGCACAGTCGTAGAGCTTAGTAAGTTTGAAAGCATACATGGTGGTTCTTTTGGCTGGGTATGTTGTCCTGATTACCATGCCAATGAGGGAAGGGTTTTGGGAATAGGTATGGATAGAAAATATGTGTGAGGTGATGACACTGAACTTATGGTAATAGGAGGGGTGAGAGTGAGTGAGTGATTGAGTGATTGAGTGATTGAGTGATTGAGTGATTGAGTGATTGAGTGATTGAGTGATTGAGTGAGTGAGTGAGTGAGTGAGTGAGTGAGTGAGTGAGTGAGTGAGTGAGTGATTGATTGATTGATTGATTGATTGATTGATTGAGTGAGTGAGTGAGTGAGTGAGTGAGTGAGTGAGTGAGTGAGTGAGTGAGTGAGTGAGTGAGTGAGTGAGTGA